AAAAAAAAAAAAAAAAAAAAAAAAAAAAAAAAAATCAGAAAAAAAATATGTCATGCAGAAGAATAAACTAAACAACATTTGCCTCAATAGTACATCCAAATTCCTTACCAAATTTGAACAAAAAATCAAATACGAAAAATAAATAATATTAATGAAAATAAGAAAAAATAAAACGAGAATGAAACTATTGCGTGGGCAAGCAAGTTTTTGACACCGCCATTTTTGGCGATTTTTCATTTTTTTTTGGCTTTGTCAAATGCCATGAAATTTTATACATATGTATCTTACATAATAGAAAACCTACAAATAAAGCTTGAAAAAATAATAATTTTTTTCAGGCCCCGAAATAAAGGGAAAACAAAAAATGAAAAGAGAAAAAAAACAAATTAGTAAGTGGGAAAGCAAGTTTTGACACCACCATCTTTGCCGATTTTTCATTATTGTTTGGCTCCACAGAATGACTTCAAAATTGAGAGACAGGTAGCTCACATAACAGAGAACTCACAAAAAAAAAATCAGAAAAAAAAATAATTTTTAGGTACCAAAATAATTTTTTTGCGGGGTCCGAACCCCTTCGAGTTCGGGCCCCGTACGGGGACCCGAACGCCCGAACATCCGGGGGTCAGTTTAGGGGCCTCCGTACATTCGGCCTGGCAACTCTGTATATATGTATGTATATATCTGTATATATATCGTCACAAACAGAACTGCCCGGTAAACCATAGGCAGAGAGAGAGAGAAGAGGACAACAAATGAGGGGCTGTGACAAACGATTTCGTCGGAGTTTCACCGACTCATCAGGAGGCTGAATATATATATGTATATGTATATGTATATATCGTCAAATAGAACTGCCCGGTAAACCGTAGGCAGAGAGGGAGAAGAGGACAACAAACAAGGGGCTGTGACAAACTGTTTCGTCGGAGTTTCACCGACTCATCAGGAGGCTGATATGTATATATTGTCACAAACAGAACTGCCCGGTAAACCGTAGGCAGAGAGAGAGAAGAGGACAACAAACGTTATATGTGACAATATACCTACAGTTTACCGGGCAGTTCTGTTTGTGACGATATATAAGTCGGTGAAACTCCGACGAAACAGTTTGTCACAGCCCCTCGTTTGTTGTCCTCTTCTCCCTCTCTGCCTACGGTTTACCGGGCAGTTCTATTTGACGATATATGTAGATATATATACGCAGTGTGTACGCGTACGTACTCCAGCGTACGCGTACGAACCCGGAATCGCGCGTACGCGTACGTAAAAAAAAAAAAAAAAAAAAAAAAAAAATCCAAAAAATCTGAAAAAAACATTTGTTGTGCAGAATAATGATACAAACAACCTTTACCTGGGAGTCATACCCGAATTCCCAACCAATCTTGATTTAAAAATACAAATCCTTAAAGAAAACTTTAAAATAGTTTTTTTAATTATTATGATAACATTACTTTTTTTTTAGTTTTTAATTTCTTACTCGAGTTAGATTGGGAAGAATATTACTTTWAAATATTTCTTATGTTGGCAAAAGTTNTTATGTTGGCAAAAGTTGTTTGTATCATGTTTCTGCATAACATGTATTTGTTACAGAAGTTTTTTTTTTTTTTTTCGGTTTTTTTCCTAATTTTTAAAAAATTTTATTTCAATTTATTTGTGTTTTGTGTCTTTGATTTTTCACTCGAGTTATGTACAGAATTTGGCCATGAGTCTCGGGCAAAAGTTGTTTGAAATATCATTTTCCATAACATAGGTTTTTTTCAGATTTTTCCGATGATGTTTTTTTTTTTTTTTTTGACGTATTCCCACGTACGGGAGTACGCGTACGCGCGTACGTGTTGCGTACAGGAATACGTGTACGCGTGTATGCGCAACCCGCGTACACGTACGCCGTGCAACACAGCTATGAACTAAAAGAGCGCAATTTTTGCAAAACAAACGGCAAAAATCAAAAAAATCAAAAAA